CGGGGGATGGGGTGCCTCCCTGCATCTGTCCTCCGACTGCACCCATGAGAGCCTACAGGACGTGGACAGGACAGGTGCCTAGGTCTGAGGGGCCACCCGGCACCCGTGCCCAAGGGTAGTGCTGGCCTCCACATCTGCTGACCCCTGGGCTGGTGCCACACCGTGCCGGTGCTGTAGCTGGAAGGATGGGGACGGGTAAGAGGGAGAGACGGGAAAACCCCAGATGCTTCATAGGGTTCAAAGGTATTCAGCCTCTTGAAGAAAGAGAAGCCCAAACCAATCAGTCGTCGCCTTCTGGTTCTTTCCCCGGAGGGTCTTGTGTGTGCTCCCTTCCAGAATTGGGAGATTCCTCCGCTCCTGCCCAGAAGGTAGTGTCTGTTCCAGTGTTACCCCCGGTTTAATGCGTTAAAATGTACACAGTTCATACATGGGAGTAATTTCTCGTGAATTTCTTGCACACATCAAGATACTAGAAATTGGGTAGCATGGGAGTGTTTTTCTGACTCCTGAGGTGTGAGATTCGAGAGTTTTGGTCCGTTGATTGCAAGAGAAGAGAGGTCGTTCTGTCCTTCCATCAAGTGTCGGTGGCCGGAGATGCCTCACCCGCACCTGTGCCTTCTCAACATGCAGGGGACTCCCTGCCCACGGTGGCATCTGTTGTATTTGGGGGGGAAGAGTCAGTACCTTAGGGCTGGGTTTTGACTTGGACGTCTCCCCAGTGCGGGGCGAAGTCGTCTCGGGGCAAGAACATAGGTTTCCGAGTCACAGAGATGAGCTGGTCTCCTTTGACCAAGGGTCTTTTTTTTTTTTTTTAATTAAGTGTATTTTTTTAAAGTTTATTTTTATTTATTTTCGGGGAGAGAGAACATGAGCAGAGGAGGGGCAGAGAGAAAGAGAGAGAATCCCAGGCAGGCTCTGAGCTGTCGGCATAGAGCCTGACACAGGGCTCGAACCCATGAACCATGAAATGGTGACCTGAGATGAAATCAGGAGTCAGACACTCAACCAACTGAGCCACCAGGCGCCCCCCAAGTTTCTTAATTAACCTCGCTGTTCAGAAGCTCGTCCACAATGCAGGACTAATGGTTTGCACACGGGAACGTTTTCATGAGGATTAAAGAAAGTTGATATGTGTGACGTAACCGGGATTTTAAAACCTTTTGGAGAAATTTGATGTGAAAGCCTTGGGCATCCAGAGCTGCTCACACAGCATTGGGCTGAGGGCCGGGTGAAGGTCTGGGTTGGAGGGTCCCTCTGTCAGTTGGAGGCACACAGATTATGCGTTCAGGACCGCTTGTGGAAAGATGTCCCCGACTGCTACCTGTCTGACTTTTGTGTGTCCTGTCCTTCCATGTCTTCTCCCTGTATTTGAAGAAAGCAGCAAAGTGCCGTCCGAAAGCATTAGGCTGCCGAGCTGAGTTGGAGTCAGGAAGGTGGCCGTGAGGTTGTGTGGCTGAAGGACATTAAGTGACTCGTGGAGGCTGGTGGCTCTGCAGGCATCAGTGGCCCGCTGGCCTTGGTGCCGAGTTGGGTCCGTGGCGAATTCCTCCCCATTCACTTTACCTAAGGTCACCTGAGACCAGTCGTCCATGCTGGCATTCCCCTGTGACATGGAGGGAACTGGGTCACAGGGACAGTGAGAGCTGGGGTCCAGACCATGCCCACTGTCCACTCCATCCTGCCAGGATGTAAGTTGAGGGAAGTGGACCAGCTCAGCTTCCCTTTCTGCCACTAACTAGTGTCGGCCTCGAGCCATGTTCTCTGTCTGATACTTGACAGGTGATTAGCCTCAGGGAGATCAGGTGGGTGCCAGGTAAACCAGGTCAAGGAAAGTGACACAGACTTTTACAAACTCAGTGAGAGAGAATGGGGTTGGAGGACCCAAGGATGAGCCAGCTTTCCCGGGTGACTGAGTGCAGAGAGAGAAGCTTCTAGAATGTTATGGAGCTCCTTGACAGCGCTTGAGGGGGTAAGAAGAAGGGTCCCCTGAAGATGAAATTTGGTCTTAGAAGATGTGGGTGTTGGGGGGCCCCTCCTTGTGGCTGTTACAGGAGCAGATGTGACACAGTCTGTCCAGGGCAGAATCTTTGAGAAGGATGCTGTTTTCCAGCTGTCTTGTCCCTTCTGCTGTCTGTAGACTTTCTGTCTTCAGCAAGGTCTTGGCCTTTGGGCTGGGCGAAGGCAAGCCAGGAGTGACATGGAGGCAGCTGAAGGAAAACTGGGGTAATAAAGCTGCTTGCACACTGTCTGAAGTGACACTTCTTTTGTTAATAGGGGAACGTTTACAAGTTTAGTAAGGAGATGTTTAAAAAGATACGAATAAAGGAGGAGAAAGACCGTGTTCCTGGGTAGGAAGATAACGTCTTGAAGGTGTCACATCTTACCAACCTCGTGTGTGCGTTTAATGTAGTTCCAATCAGAACACCGATGGGTTTCTTGCAGTGGGACTTGATGAAGTGCTTTTAGAAGTCACGGAGTAAAGGATCTTCATTAGCTAGGGTCCCTCCACCGGACGCGAGGTCTTGCCAGCGAGCCGGAGAATTGAGCGTGCAAAGGGCCTGTCCATCACCTGGGAGGTGAAGGTGAGACCAGACTCACAGCGACTAGAAATCTGGTTCGAGAAAAGGGGGTGCTGTCCACGGGAAAGGGGCTGCTCTGCAGAGAATCCCAGAACGGTTTGCCACGCGGACAAGGGCAACGTGGACCCCTCTCTGCCGCGTGTGTGCGTCACGTGCAGGTGGGGCAGGGGCTTAAACATCAGGCACAGTTCTTGGGAGCAGTAGGGGCGGAGCGTTCCTCTGTTTGCTGCCCTGGATCTCGCCCCTCGGCTTGTTTTCTTGCCTGTCTTAGGTACTTTTCACCCATTCTGATATCTCCTTTATCTTGGACGTTCCAAGCCTCGTGATTGTCATTCTTTCTGGACAGTGTCCTTTGGCCATTCGTTAAGAGTAGGTTTGTGAACAACAAATTCTGTTCGTTCTCCGTCATCTGCGAATGTCTTATTTTCCCCAGTGGCGGAGGGATATTTTGGCCGCCTGGTAGAACTCCCAGTTGGCAGTCCTTGTCCTTCGGTCATTGCGACATGGGGGCCAGTTCGTTTTGGCCTCTTGGTTTCAGATGAAACAGTTACCCATGTTTGAACTGAAGTTGCCCATAGGTGTTCCTCTTTGGGGCTGTGTGTAGGATGGGCTCCTTGTCTCTGGCGTCCAGAAGCTTCCTCATGATGGGTGGGGTGTTTCTTGTTTATCCTGTTTGGGGATCAGTCAGCTGCTTGGCCACATCTGGGGGGTTTTCAGATATCGTTTCGTCTCAGGACCTCCAGCCAGGCTCTCCCTGTTCTGGGTCCCCCAGGGCACAGCCATCGGATCTTCTGTTGCTGGCGCTCAGGTCTCTCCCCTGGGCCTGTTTTGCTGTGCTGTTCACGTGGGATAAATGCTCCTGCTGGACCTTGTGGCCAGGATCCCCTCCCTGTCCCCCCCCCACGTTGCTGTTCACACTTCTCTTACTGCCTGTTTCATTTCTACCATTTTTTTGTAACTTTTACTTCCTTACTGAGATTTTGGGTTTGTTGTTGTTCCCCTCCCCCCCATTTGTGTGAAGAGAGTACGCAAATGTTTCCAGAAGCAGGGTTCTGAGGCTGCTGTAAAATCCTTGCCAGGTA